GCTTACTGGTACCTCTGTTGTAAGACTACTTGCACGTCAGCGAAAAAGGGAATTGCAGCAGTTGAAAAGTTTAAAACTGTTCTTGACCTTACACATAATTTAAAAGAACCTTAGAAGAAAAAGAAAGCAGCTCGAGGCTTAGGTACATCCCTCTTCTTGTTCTGTTTAAGCCCTCAATTTCTTGATTGCACTATAAATCAATTATTGCACAACATATATTTGTAAATTTCAGTATGTCAGCCTACATCATTGATTGGAATTAACCATGCTGACATTTCTCTTCTTTTCTATTGCTAGAACCTTGTAAACATGATTGGTATCAATTGCTTGTCAGAGTTTAATCAAATCAAATGAATATGTTCCCAAGAAATGAGCTCTTAAACCATTTCTACTTTCTTTATCTGTCATATTATGGCTATTTGGTTCGTGTCCGTAGTGCGTGCTTCCCTTTTAACAACCTCAAATAATAAAACCCTTTGAAATAAATTGGGGCGTGCCATGCCAAATAAAATTCCAAAATCCATGGCCCTCACTTAATTAATTTTAACCCTTTAAAAATTGAGGTGTGTCATTAGTTGAATTTTTCATGGCCCTCGCAAACTTGAAAGTGCATAGTTGCTTTAGGCGCTTTATTAAATTAATTTCCTTAAACTCGGGTGTGCATTTCATATGAACCAACTCCAATTCTCAACAACGTTAAATAAAATGTGTTGTGGATCGCGGGTACATTTCATGTGGCGTGATTCAAGGCATGTTTTAAATAATGTTGAATCTTCATTAAAAATAATTAAAAGCGGTTTAATAAAGATAAAATGTACCATAGGCTAAAATATGTGTTAAAATCAGATAATAGGCCGATTATAATACTTTAAGCGACCTTGCTAGAACAACGGAATCCAAGGGTGCCTAATACCTTCCCTCGGGTTAACAGAATTCCTTACTTAGAATTTCTAGTTCGCAGACTTCAAAAGGAAAGTCGAATTTTCCTCGATTTGGGATTTAGAATAAACCGGTGACTTGGGACACCAAATAAACTATCCCAAGTGGCGACTCTGATTTAAATAATTAATCCCATTTCTAATAATATCACTTAAATTGAAAAAACTCCTTTATACTACCTTCGGGTATGTAAAAAGGAGGTGTGACAGGGGGTGCTCCCAGGATTTGATCGGCCTTGGCGTTATATGTCTCTACCTTTGTCGTTGGCCTCAATTTTCTTCTCACCTGATTCCACCCATTTTGTTAGTGCTTCAAGCATTTTCATTATCTCTGGGATGGCCCCGGGCTTAGCTTCACTCGACCTCTCGGTGGTTTGCTCGTTTCTTTGGGTGTTCACCCGGGATCGTTCGGGCTCGACCCTACCAGGAGGGTGGCCTTGATTATGTAATTGCGCTATTGTCACCTGTTAATGCTTCAAAATTTTGAAGATTAGCCACATGTTTATCCCATCACCTTCGCCTTCGGGTGTTTCTCAGACTGTTGTTCGAGGACCTCCACGAACACTGTTTTTGGGATCAGTTGGCAGGTGGGCGTCCATAGCAATCTGTGAATTGGCATCGATTGGATCGGCAGCTGGGATTCCATTAGGATTAGCATGGGGCACCTAATTGCTAGGCACCGGGTTGTTGTTTTCGCCATGATGGACAGACTCAGTCTCAACATTCAAGCGAGCAGATTGAGAATTTGACATTTTTAAGCTGACTTAAAATTGAACCTTAAAGAACAAACGTAAAATAGAGAATGTTACGAAAATTTATATCAAACCACCACTATTATCCTTAGCCCCATAGTGGGCACCAAATTATTTCCCCTTAAAATAGATAACAATTGAATTTATACGCGTTTTTAACGATATGTGGATTGATTTAACACAAATAATCAAGAAGTTAGATAAGTGAGCTAAAGACACAATGGATAATCAAATAAGGCGTAACGCTATGGCCTATCTTGAACTTGAATAGGGCAATAGTTTCTGCCCTCGGTTGGGTCTTAGGTTCAAAACCAATCAAGAACAAGGAATAAAAGTAAAGTAAAGACCTTTTAATACCTAGAGAGTAGAAAAATAATTTTGTATTTCCTTGGTATACGTGTTACCATGTCTTATCAAAGAAAAAACGTCTCCTTTATATAGTAGGAGAGTTTCACTCTTAGTACAATTCTAAAAAAAGATAAAAATCCTCCTTTCTTGCCAATTAATCTAACATCAGGTGAGATCTGCGCCATGATATCTGCTAAGGTGTGCATATCACGACTCTCTGTTAGTTGTATGCAACCGTTTCCATGCTTTCCGAGGTCTCGGAGCTCGTTCAGAGTTCGAGGAAATTGTCTGAGTAGGCCCGATGGAAAACACTCCGTTCAGGTCTTAGTACGAGAAGTCCCGGCTTCGATTCTGATCCCATGCAATCACGTCTTTACTTTGTTTGACCCACCAGAAAATCGGGGTATACATTACCCGCGGTTTCACCTATATGCAAACAATCCCCTCATTTCCTAGGAAGTAAGTTTGATAAAATGACGGGAGATGATAGATGAACCCTAATTCCTTCCTTCGCACATTACAACCGAGATGGCGGATAAGCCGAAACGTACAATTTGTTGCATCGTTCGGACTTCGAACACATGTCATTCATTGGTAGTTTGCCTTTGAATGCGAAACGTCACGTATTTCCCCCTATAGAATCTTTGCCCCCTTCACTTCCTTCACTTTCTAATCCTAGCTTCTACCTTCAAATTCTACAAAGGCTTTCGATTTTCTCAAATCTTCATACTTTGTTTCTTGAACCTTCATATCTTCATCTTCAACCTCCAATCCTTCACACATTTTCTTGAATTTTCATCCGAGAATCTTATATCTCAACTTCTAAACTTCAAATCTTCATACACCTTCTTCAAATCTTCATACATTTCCCAGATTTATGATGGCCAAGACTTCCAAGTTTGTACCACAATAAACAACCCGATATCTGAGGACAATATTATTCGCACGTGTAACAACCATAGAAATGGTGGTTGAAGCTAACGAGAAAAAAGAATCTAGAAGGAAGAATGAGAGAAGAAGAGAACCAACTTACTTCATTTCTTCAAAAAACTATGTTGTGTACAATAGGCTACAATATTTAACAACCTAATTGCTTCTAACTCCTAACTAACTAACTATAATTAATATTACAATTAATCTCAATTGTAGTTAGTTATCAGCTTATCACTAGCTGCTAGCCAACACTCCCCCTCAAGATGATGATTCAAACAAGTTCTTCAATCCCATTTTATTCAATAGGTATTCATGTTGAGATTTTCCTTGACCCTGTTGTGAGTAAGTCTGCTAGTTGATCTTTTGTATTCACATACTCAGTTTTGAGCAGCCCTTGACTTAGCTTCTCTTTCACAAAATGACAATCTATGTCAATATGTTTTGTTCTCTCATGAAATATTGGATTTACAGCTATTTGGATTGATGCCTTGCTACCACATATCAAAGTTACATGCAGCTCAGTTTTGACACCTAGCTCTAAGGATGGCAAACGGTTTGGGCCCGGGCCTAAATGGGCCTCGTGGGCCGGTCCTAAGTGGGTCGGTTCTATATGGGCCCGAGTTTCATGGGCCAGGCTTAAAACGGTCCCAGGCTTAGTGGGCTTTTGGATGTAACCGAACCGGGACCACAAACTAATGGTCTCGGGCTAAGTGGGTCGGGCCCAAACGGGCCTAAGCGGGTCTGACCTATTTTTTAAATTTGTTTTATCTAAGGCAATTTCTTGTAAANATATATATATATATATATATATGGGGGGCGGGCTAAGTGGGTCTGACCTTTTTTTTTTAATTTTTTTGTCTAAGGCAATTTCTTATAAATTATATAGTACATATATATATATATATATATATATATTTTTAGATAATTTACAAGAAATTGCCTTGTATAGATATATTGCCTTATATAATTGTATATACCAAGTGTATAATATATAAGCTATATTTGAATTTCGATATAACATTAGCTATATTAAGACGTATAGCTTAGTATATTAATACATTAGCTATATATATATTAAGATGAACTCGATATCAAAGTTGTAAATTAAAATTTACATTTAATACTTCAAATTAAAGTCCAATACCTTCAACATAATACTTCAAATTAATCTAACAAACTAAAACATTAAGCATAATATGTCTAATAATTTTAAAATAACACAAATTGTCTCAAATAAACTTAAAATCTTAAATACGAATGTCTGGATAACGCGTAAGACAACTATTTATATGCCTCCTTAAACAACCTGTGCCCTCCTTTGGATGATGAGTGTAGACTCGACCACAGTTCTTGCACTTTATTATGTAAACTTTTTCATTTTTTTCTACCACATTAAAGTGTTTCAAAATAAATGGGTGCAATCTAGAATCACAGGGCATGATTTAACTTGAATTAAGAATCTGAGTTTGAGAAATGAGAGGTAAGTGAAGACTTGAAGACTTGAATACTTCAATTTGAGTTTGAGAAATGAGAGAGATTGATGATTTTGTGAGACAAATAAAAGAATGAAGGGGTATTTATAGGTGAAAATAGGAAAAAGTGTAATTATAAAAAGTTTGGGGTTAAAACAAAGTTGGGGGGGGAGGGGAGGTTAAATGGCTATTTTAGAAAGCCCAAACGACTATTTTTGCAGGCCAACGACCATAATTTAAATGTTGCAATGGCTAAAAAAAATTTGGATTTTTTTTAAAAGTAGCTATTGGGCCCGTTTGAGCCTGTTTAGGGCCTGTTGAATCGGCCCACTTAGGACCTGGTCCCGGGCCCGAACGATCCCGGTCAAACGGGCTTCTTCAATGAACCGGCCCACTTGGGCCTCAAGCCCCCTAGTCCCGAGCTTAAAAAGGTAGGCCCATTTAGGCCCACTACCCATATGGGCTTGCGGGCCTGGGCTTGGCCCGGGCCTAACCGACCCACTTGCCACCCTTACCTAGCTCACTCAACATCTCTGTTAACCATGTAACCTCTATTTTCAGGCTGTCATACTTCTAAACTCTGCTTGTGCTGAACTTCTAGAGACAGTATTTTGCTTCTTCGACTTCCAGGATATTAATGAATTGCCAAATTTCACTAAGTACACTGTAACTGATCTCCTTGTTTGTATGCATGCTCCCCAGTCTGAATCACAGTATGCAATCAGCTTATTTGAGGATTCTGCAGGCATTAGCAGCCCCAAACCTTGTGCCTCCTTTATGTACCTTACCACCATCGGTGTTGCCTCCATGTAAGAGTTCTTAGGACAGTGCATGTACTGACTGAGTACCTGAACCACAAAACCAATGTCAGGCCTGGTCATAGTAAGATATATCATTGTTCTAACCAATCTTTGGTATACACCAAGATTCTCAAGAGCTTCATCTAAGTGAGCATTATCAGTATTGAAGCAACTGCAACTATCATACTTTGCTGATGTTAACTTCTGATTCAGCTCTAAGGGTGTTTGAGCTGGCTTTGCACCACTTAGACCTAACTCAAATATTAACTCTTGTGCATACTTCCGCTAATAGATGAGAGTTCCTTTATTAGACCTTGAAAACTCAATACCTATGAAGAATTTCAGATCTCCTAGATCCTTTATTTTGAAACTTTTTTTAGGTATGTTCTAGTGTCACACAACAGCTGTTGATTGTTTTCAGTGATCAAGAGGTTATCTACATATACCAGTATGATCACTATGTCATTTCCAACATTCTTTGTAAACAAAGAATCAACATAACGACTTTGCTGAAATCTCATATGAAGTAGAGCTTCAATCAACTTCATATTCCATTGTCTTGGGGCCTCTTTAAGCCCATAAAGGGACTTGTGGAGTTTGCAGACCTTCTTGTGAGTATCCCCTGTCTAGCAAACCCCTCAGGTATATGCATATTGACCTCCTCAATGAGATCTCTATTAAGAAAAACATTATGAACATCCATCTAAAAGATCAACCACTATTTAGAAGCAGCCAATGTAATAATGGATCGAACAATAACTATCTTAGCCACAGGAGAAAAGGTTTCACCATAATCCAAGCATTCCTTTTGACTGTACCCCTTAGAAACCAATCGATCTTTGAACCTTTCTACCTCCCCAGATGCTTTATCTTTATTCTGTAAACCTACCTACAACCAATAAGTATCTTTTCATGTGGTAGATCTATAATGCTCCAAGTATGATTATCCTCTAGGGCTTCAATCTCCAATTGCATAGCTTTCACCCATCTAGGATCAAAGCAACCTCTTTGAAAGTAATTGGTTCTGAGAGAGCTGAGTAGGCTGTGAGAGCTTGTCTGAAAGTTGGAGAGATATGAGAGTAGTCTACATAGGAAGATATGGGATAAGTACACTTGGAGCCTTTGGAGATAGTGACATAGTCTTGCAGCCACAAAGGTGGCTTACTTGGTCTTGAGGATCTTCTATATTCTTTAACCAACTCAGTAGTGTATGGTTGAACTGCAGATGTTTCAATACCAGCATCATCCCGGTGATCACACATCAGGCACAATAGGCTTAGAGGCAGTTGTGTCTGTAGTGAAAGTAGGAACTTTTGCAGGAGACTCTGTTGATGGCTGATCTGCAATAAGTTCAACTGAGTCTTCTACTATAGGTGTTGAAGATGATGTAGGACTTGCAGCATTCAAATCAAGAGATAACATATCAATGACAGGGAAGTCATGAGTTCCATAAGCTTTAATATGCTTGAAAGGAAACACAGTCTCATGGAACACAACATTCCTATTAACCATAAATGTTTTGGAGTGCAAGTTATACAAGATATAACCCTTTTGAGTAAAGGAGTAACATAAGAGTACATCATGCACTGCTCTAGGTAAAAACTTGTCCAAAACTTTAGGAGTTGTTGAGTAACATAAGCAGCCAAATACTTTGAGATGAGATAAAGAAGTTGGATGCAAATACAACCTCTCAAAAGGTAACTTGTACCCAATTACCTTAGAAGGTAATCTGTTAAGTAAATACACTATTGTAGAAACACATTCTCCTCATCCAGAATCTTAGAGACACAACTGCTTGAAATATGAGAGATCTAGCCATCTCCAAAATGGCTTTGTGTTTTGTTTCTGCCATCCCATTTTGCTGGGGTATGTAAACACATGTACTTTGATGGACAATAGCAAAGCTAAATAATAAATTCTTGAACTCAGTACTAAAAAATTCACTACCATTATCAGTCCTTAGAATTTTATTATTAGTAGAGAACACATTGTTGCTTGAGTAAGAAAATCTCTTAGAACTACAATTGCTTCTGACTTAGAGTTTAAGAGAAAATCCAAGTGAATCTGCTATAGCCATCAACTATGGTGACAAAGTACTTTCTACTATCATATGTAGGTACTCTATATGGTCCCTAAATGTCACGACCCAAACCGATGGGCCGTGATGGGCACCCGATACCTTACTCAATCGAGTACCAATGTAACGTATCTTTCTTATTACATCATCAAATATACGTGACATACGGGCCTAATAGGCCAACATAATTAAAATCAAAACATAGGCCGACAAGGCCGTACAATCTTTCACGTACAAGACATATGTCTACAAGCCTCTAAGAATACATAAATGTCATAAAGGTCGGGACAGAGTCCCGCCTTACCAAACAATACATGTCTAGATCATACTAACCAAACGAGCAACTCCGAAGCAAATAGAGCACACCAACATCTTCTGCTGAGCTGATAGCCTACTTGGAGGGCTCTCGACCTGTCTATTGGGACCTGCGGGCATGAAACGCAGTGTCCCCAAGCAAAAGGGATGTCAGTAGGAATAATGTACCGAGTATGTAAGGCACATAAGTAAATACATAAGAGACATGGAAGACATATAGAGTACATGACTCAACCTATAAGTCTGAATAACTTTGTAAATCATAAATTACTTTTAGCGTCATGCATATGCGTATGAATGTCATGTCGTGCATAGGTACATATTTCATAACATCATCAGTCTCTAATGGCATCCCATCATATCGTATCGGCCACTATGGGCAAAATCATTATCGTATACCAGCTGATCAGGTGGTGGTGCGTATATAACGTCATAACCTTTCCCATATCTCATATACATATATATATATATATATATATATATATATACATACATATATACGCGTATATAACGCCGTTTGAGTACATACATATATATGCGTATATAACGTTGTTTGAATCTTATTTCAGCCACTGTGGGCAACATCATCATATACCAGCTGATCAAGTGGTGGTGCGTATATAACGCCGTAATCTTTTCCCATGCAATGCATGAAAAGTACGTCAATAAAATCATTCGGAATGTCATAAGACCATTTTGCCTCTTGAGCAATATCATAAAGTAACATCTTTCCAACTTTCGTATTTTTCTGAGATCCATGAACAGACGATAAAATATTATGACACATGAAAATTAAAGAACATAGATATTTCTATTACTTCTATAAGTAGAGTCACTTATGAAATTTGTGCATTTGCACGTTTTGTTCATATTGTATGGATCATGCCAAAATAATAGAAGGGATAGCCTTAACATACCTGGATTCAGGAACAAAACCTGCACGATTTGTGTAAATGTAAATATCCAGTCCGGTACTTGTAGTTTTCTGCTAATTTGAAAGATCTAGCCAAAGCACCCATACCCATGTCACACCTACTTGATATTTGTAAACTAAGGATCCAAATTGAGAGATTCCCATTAAACAAAGTCACGGGAAAAATATACTCCCAGATGGAATTTTCTTATGCCAAAAATGAGCATAATATTGATGATGACTTTAACATCTTTCTTTTTAAGGCTCAATAGTTGTCCAAGTGTCTTGTTAATATAGAATATAAAACAAGAGTCATTAGACTCTATATACTTGCTTCCACGTAGTTAATTTTGTAGTTATCCAAAGTTTTTTAAATTAATTTAATTAGGTAATATTTCGTTACCCGGTAATTAATCAATTATCCGAATAATTAAGAATTGTCTAAAATTTCTTAAAATTCTACTTATTTTTAATATACTATATACATCCCACTATCATGGTCATATGGTACCTTTTATGGTACTAGTCCGAAAATACCGGGTATTATCGCACGGCCCGTATTTTATCCAAATATGTCAACTTGGACGAAAATTTATTTTCTTTGACTTGCTTCCCCCTTCCACCTTTACTAATCACTTGTGAAATAGCATAATCCTTATAATCTCTAAATAATCTTTTACTTGGACTGGTGTCAGTTACCGTACGACAAATTCAACGTACAATACTGCGGGGTGTAACACTGTCGTAACTTATTACTGCGAAGCGTAACATCACCGTACTGTAATACTGTTGGGCAGAACACTGCCGTAACATAATACTGATGGACGTAATATTGACGTAATATTGTGGGGTGTAACATCATTACCCCCTTTGGAACATTCGTCCTCGAATGTCGACTAAAGCTCTTATCATTTTCTTAACTTATATTTTCTGAATACTTTAGAACTTTCCTTGCCATCTAGGTGATTGTTCTGTGAATAAGTCCAAAGTCTAGGGCTTTCCCCTCTTAGGCCTCCTTCTTACACCACAACTTGTAGTCGTAATCCTTCCAATCTCGTAATTGTTGCTACCTTTCATCATGCAACCTGTACAATTTTGACCTTGTAAGTGTGCCCAATCTCTAGGCTTCATATGTAGAGCTTGATAAGATGTCCCTTTGGGCATTTATGAGTATTCTAAAGTTTTTCGCTCGATACTTTGTTGAATTCATGATTATTTATCTCATCGCATAGGTCGGTTTAGCCATCCGTATGAATTTACTGCCATAACTCTTACTTTAATTTATCATTGCTGAGGTCTGCTACCAAATCCCAGCTTAATCTCATTGCTTATCCATATGTATAAATTTAAGTCCTTTAATGCTTCCTCGTTACTACTCATCTTTAGAATGACGGCCTAATCTCATCTCATACTTTGTGACTTTTGTCCATCCATTGTTGATTCACCTCAATATTGATCTACAGTATACCACTGATAACTTGAAACTTCTTACGTAATACTTTGCCCCTAGGGCTTATGTTACATCAAGGAATATTCGAAGTGATTCCCATAATCGTATTTCATAGTGTGATTCACCTTATGGGGGTATCCTAATTTCGTGCCGCCAACGAAATCTTATCTCCTTCTCTTTCTTTTTTTAAAATCTTTATTCAATCAAATGCCCCAAACATCATCTTANCCAAACATCATCCTATATCTGTCACAATTATACCCTCATTTTATTACCAGGTCAGCATTTCATTCCTTCTAAATGCTATTAATCTTAGACTCCTTTGAGTTCATTAAGGCTATAGTGAGCTTTGTATAACATAGAGAAACTGTCTGCTCTTCTTGTTTTCATGGGCTTAATCCTAAAGACTTATCCATTCTCGTCACCTTTTCACTTGCCTTTCCTCATCCTTACTCATGTTTCCTTAAAACTTTGTTGCTCTATCATACTTTAGCTTGCGACCTATACATATCCATATAAACTTTCCTTCAACTTGTTTGCACCATAGATTTCCTTATTCTATTCTGGAATGTCAAGCGAGACATCACATCGTCTCCAACTTTTCTCTATTCTCTTAACTGGATCTCTCAGTACTTAGAAACCACAGGTGGAAGACAAGCTACCGACGATGTCGCTATCATTCCCAGTTATTAGATCCCCGTTCTTGTAGCCTTCTATCCAAAGTATGGACTATTCATGATCTTCTGCCTTTGAGTATCTCGTACATTGTTCACCTTTACCTTACTTACCTTAA